ATTGCTCAAGATCAAATTGGACCTTTGTGCACCGCCCTACCCTTATGTTTTGACTGTTAGTAAATTTCAGTACATATATATTTACGAATACCGAGCTATCGTTATTCCACGAATACATTTATAAAAAAAAAACTATTTTATCTGTTGTTAAAATCACTTTTTACATAATCGGAGATAATATCAATCTTTGTATGTTTAATATCGATATTATTTTTCGCTATATTAATGACATATTCGCAATATATCATTCAAATTCAATTCAATTCAAAAATATCGTACCCATATTGCAAATCATTTTTACATTTTGAATAATCTGTCCTACGTAACACATAATAGATATAAACGCATTTAGAGAAGAAAAAAAATCAAATTTAATGTAAGCGATTTTGATATCAAAAGACGGCGTTAAATATAATAATTGTAACAAAAAATACAGAAATTAATGAGTAATATCTGTACTATACACATTCACATCAAAGAAACCTCATTTTATTGAGCAAAATGCAACAAACTATGGGTCGCTAAGTCCACTAATAGTTTCTATTTTAATTACAGTTTTTAAAATTATGTCATGAGCAAACAATTTCAATATCGAATTATATTATTGGTTTACTTCATCAATATTCATACAAAACATTGTTCATAAGGTCGCCGAGCTTTTCAAACAGATGCTTCACCCGAGAATGAAAATCTCTTCGAACATGAGAAGAATCAAACTTTTATATGAAGGTTCATAAGTGAAGTCTTTTGTGAAAAATACAATACTCTTGTACGACAAGAAAATTTAAATTTATGTTATAATAACCCAAGTTCTATTGTGCATGGTTCGATAGAAATATGTGATGAGGCAGCAGGTCACATAAAAAAACAAGCTTTTATTTTCTTTCATATTAAAGTTTAGGGTAAATGCAATATATCGCGTTTAATTTTTTATAGGAATGTTAAACTACAATAGGAAAAACTTCCCGACATCCGCAAAAAGAAAAAAATGACTTGATCAGAATAAGAAAATAAGAACTGAGATTAAGCTACTATTAAAACTGCAGTATTTTGAAATTTTGACACTGTCCGTCATTCCAAACATTGATGCATTTTTATAATTAAACCGCTTTTTGTAAGCCTGTAATATTTCAAGATGTTCGTTCAGACCACCAACTATCATCAATCAGTTTTTTTTTTACAATAGCGAATTACACAGAAACGGCTCAGCTGATCTTTACCAAAATCTAAACAGCACCATTCCTGACTGAAACCTTTTGAAAAGTAACTAATTTTTTTACCATCTAAATATCTAAAATATATATTCAAAAATTAATTTTAAATATAACTACATTACTAATTAAAATACCTGAATCACAAGAATGTCCTCAGTACGGTCGAAAAATATGTAAAAAAAACATATTAAACTTAATAAAAATAAAAAGAACGGAAGTAATATTAATGCTACTGACAAAACGCACTCCATAACTATTGATTTCACTATTGCAAATGATCAAATTCTTGCTTAATGCAACGCACACAGCATGAATGTTTGACACAAAGTGGCAATCATAACAAGATTATTTAAAATTCCGACGAAAAATTGTTATTATTATTATGGTATGCGATTCTCGGTCGAGCTCTTGTCGTGTGAACACCCGTTATCGTAAACGCATAGTGCAAAATTATTCTATAAACATGCTATAAATATTATATATATATATATATATATATATATATATATATATATATATATATTAGGGTGGTCCTTAATATGGATATTTTCAAATTTCCTTGCTCCCAGAGGCTCAAATGCTCCCAAATTGAAAAAAATAATCTTCTATAAGTTTTAGCTCTTATTGTCTTTTAGATAGTGCTCAATTCAATCAAAGTTTTGTATAGAAATAGCATGGGAAAATTTTCAAAATATTTTTTTAGATGTAACTTAACGAACAAATGAAAGAGTTTTATTAAAAATTCGACGCTCTACAAAACAAATTACAAAAAACCTGTTTCGCAGGGCGTCGAATTTTCAATAAAAAATTTGTCGAATTGTCACTTAACTCATTTGTCGCTAAGTTTTTTAAAATTTCAATTTTTTTTTGATTGAATTGCGCACTATCTAAAAGCTAATATTAAGAGTCTATTAATATTAATACATAGATTGCAATTAATCGCCTGGCTCCACTGCAACCACATAGCATTTTGACAGTTTTTAGTACAATTTTGTATGAGAAGCGCTACGTAACTTAATCATGAAACTTTGCATATGTGTTTTTTATTGATTCAGAGCCGAATGACTACAACGAGTAGTAATAAACGAAACATTTAACGTTACTAAAATCCGCAATCAGATCGTTTATTTCGAACTTTCAATCCACGGTTAATTGATAAAATTCAGTAAATTGTATAGGTTATTAACAAAATTTTATGTTTTGCGCCTTTCTTAGAACTTTTTGCAAATATCTGAGCAAAATTTTCATATATGAAAAATGAATGAACAAAAATTTACACATCAGCAATGGTAAACCTACGATAAACCCTGAAAATGACATGAGAGTTCAAGAAAACCTTAGACCTATTTCAAGTTAACTTTGCTGAACTGAGCATTAGGACACTTTCAACAATTATAGTCTTTCTAGAAAACAGAGTTCGTTTGTAGTATATATTTAACTATTAGCAAAGCCAATATTTCTCTTAATATTCTATGAACTAAAATTACTAATGTATACAGTCTGAGTTTAATTTAATGAGGTCTTTGGCCTATTCCTCAACGCACAACGCAAGTTATTTACGACGCTGTAATTATGACATAGTAAATCATTTGTCTGGTGTTATTTATCAAATAGTATATTAATGACAGCATACTCTGTTATTATAATATGTGAAACGTATGCTCTGTTAGTTGCATTATGGCACAGTTAAATAAAACGGTGGGCGGCATATGTTGACTTAAGAAATAACAAACATAAGCACATTCTTATGGAATGGTATTTAATAGTGCACTTATCAAATATGATGCTGAATAAAATTTACTATAATATCATTTAAACACGGAACAACTTTTTGGGTGCATCGTGTTGAAGTTCAACCATACGCTAAAAATATTTGCAAAGTGCGAGTCGAACTCGTTTAATCGTGCAATAGGGTCGAACTTAAAGGTCCGAGGTTAAAAAGGTCCACCACCGATTATCTCAAAAACAAGTACCGTTAGTAAGTTTTTACTAACAAAATTTGAAAGTACGGGGCATGTATTATATAAACATGTGTAACCAGCCATCGCCATAAATCAAGCATCGTCGCTATCAGGAGATAAACAGTCATGCTTGAAAATATATACCAAAAGTATTATATGTTAGTTATTTAATTGTTTTATAAGATGTATTGTTATTTTTAAGTTGGATTCAACAAATTTTTATATATAATCTTCATAAAAGCATACATACGTGTGGTGTAAAAAGATCAACTGAAACTTTAGCCTGGTACAGGTGTAAATAATAAGAAAATAGTGAATAAAAAACGTAAATTAAGTTAATAGCTACTCCAACTCTACTATTTTCTGAATATTTCTAACAAAATACCAGATCAAGGTTTTTATATACAGTGTTATCCTCGTGAAAAATGTGCCCGGAAATTTTATATGTTGCATTGGTTGAATAATGTAGCTATTATTTTGACAATAATTTTTTATAATTTAACCACTTTTTTTAGATTTATAGTACTTTATGATGTTCATGTAGAGTTGAACTTTTTCGCCAAGTTTCATTAAAAACGACAAAAAAAATAATTTTGAATTACAAGAAACGGCCTGGCCGAGCATCAGCAGATACTAATCAGCAGGATGCCTAACTCATATCTTTGGAACAGTTTTTGAATTTACTTATGTTATGAGGAAACGTCGACGAAAGGTTAAAAATCAGCACAAAAACACCTACAGGCGTACTTTTTTCCAAATTTGGTACCAAACAAATCACAGCGACTTGAAACGTCGAGAAATCATAAAATACTAAAGAAGCTAATTTTTTTTAACGAAAACAAACTTCTTCTTCAGGAAGTTAATAATAAATGTATATTTATATTTGTTGATCTATAACGATTTGAACTTTAGTGCTTAAGAAAAACTGGTAAAAAAATAATTCTTGAGTGAGTGGGAGACACTATCATCATCTTAAATTTAATCGGCTTATTAACTTATAGTTCTTTATTAAGATTTTATGCTCATAAAAAAACATTATCCCATTGACATTCTGTCTGTTATAACCGTTTATATAATGAGTGATTGAGTTCAAATATCTGGCTTCTAGATTAAGAAGTCAAAGTTAAAAAAAGAATTAAAGCAAAATGTAATTGAAACGGTGAAATAAAAATAAAGCTCAATTTATATTTATATTTGTACTTGATGTATGAAGTTTTGCGGAATACAAAAAAGAAAATAATGTATCATAAAAGAATCATTTCAATTTGTCGAAAAGAAATGTGGTAAATGAAGTTCAAGTTGGTGCACAAAAAGACGATAGTTCATTAAAAGTGTATGTGAGAGGACATCTGATTTTGTACCAGATTAGCATCGAACTATTAATTTTACTATCATAATATCAAATAAAAATTTTGTTTCTAATAGTTTTTGAATATAATTAACGAACCGTTGATTTATTTATAGTAAAATTTCAACGCTATGCATTTGATACCATTTCTGAAAAATTATATACATATTAAAAATAAAATGAGAAAATAGCACATTAAACTAGTTTCTCAAGAAAAGCATTGTATTGCGTCACAAAAATATTAATGAGTATGGCTTGAAACTTACTGGTTTTATTAAAGTAAAAGTGTAGAGAAAATTTACACGTCGGCGATAAACGTGATACCAAGCGCTATGCAATTAATTACTTTTTAATTAACTTTTACACTTATTAAATTATACATGTAAGGGAGAAATAACTAAATAAATGACTTTCGTTGCTTTTTATATCTGATCGCCAAGAACTATCGAAATGATAAAACTAATTATAAATTCTTACCTCATTAGTTCGAAACAAATGCACAAGTGGTTTCGAAAATAAAAGTGCTCCAACATGTGTATAACATGATGTTGTCCATCTCGATCCTTTCGTCGGAGGTCATCTAAGATCCTGACCTCGACCAGAGCTTGATGATGGAACCGCTTTTTGTTCCTGATTATCTTAATAGCGACATGCTGCTGCGTCTTATGGTCTAAAGCGCGTATAACTTGCCCGAAGCTACCACGTCCGATAACTTCTAATATTTCATAGCGGTAACCGATATGGTCATGTAACACCTGAAAATAAAGGATTCATTTTTAGTTTATATTCAGTAAATACTTAATGCAAAGGCAATATTTATATTTATATTTATCTTCATTGTAAAAATATAATCGTATTTTTTATAATACTTGGAACCTAACCCTCCTTTTTGTATTAGCCCTTTGTTTCGTATAGCATGGATTCGCCTAACATGGTAGGTTTTTTTGAATGTAACCCCCCTGAGTACATTTCAAAGACAGAGTTATAGTTAAGATTATGTATAAAGTGTCACTTATTATTAAAGTTCTTAATATTTTTTACGAGTTCTTGATTATATACACATATACCCTAGTAGAAACGAATCGTGGCGCAATATTGTACTTTATATGGGCTCTATATTGTTTACCAATATTGCTATAATATTATTCTGTTAACATTTTCCCATATAAATCCAATATTAAAACCAATATAGGCCCCATATAAAACCAATATTGATAAACAATATTAAAATCCTATTCAAAACTAATATAAGCCCAATATTGAAAACCAATATAAGATTAATATAAATAAACAATATTTACCCTACAAAAAAACCATATAATCTCAATATAAATAAAAATATTTACCCCAAATTCAAAATTATTATTTAACCCACATTAAAAATATTATTTAGTTTATATAGAAAAACAGTATTTAACTCATTGATAATAAAAGTTTATTTATTCTAAATGAATACATACATTTTTAAATAGTTTATGTATTGAATCTTAATAATTTTATTAACAATTTACAAATTATTATATAATAAGATATAGAACAATCAAAATATTTTCAGTCATTATAATAATTTGGAGGATCTTAATGGTAAATCATAATCTCATCTTTGTTAATCCTATCGCTTAATTGTCTATTATAAGTATATAATTATTTATATAAGTATTTTAATTAGTGAAGGAAATTCTTATATTATTTGGATATTTTCACACATGTTTTAACATTTTCTTGCATTCGATCACGATTACACCTGAAATAAGATAAAATATATTATTTATATTAATTAAATTTTCTGGAATATATTGAGTTTATAAACTCATAATAAATTCAATTACTTAGCTTTTAATAAAAAACATTTCTGGCATTGTAGTTTATTGAAAACTCATATTTTCTAGAACTCGATCACAGTTAAATCTGAAATAATTAAAAATACAGTAAATATAAAATTTTAACATTAATTTACAACAGTGCAATTATAATTTTAAATTAAAACAAAAAACTGTTGATGGAAATACGAATATCAAATATTCAAAAGCGATAATAAATTATTGAAAAGTCTGCATTTAATAAATTTGTTAATATTTTTATTACCTTTATCAAATCCATTTTTGCATTTTTGATAGTTTTTATATTACAGCTGATTTTACATCCATTTCAATTTAGTCAATCTAGAATATATAAAACACATCATGTTTACTAAATATGTATGTTTATTTATATAATATAAGTAATAAATATACTTACGTACTTTAACCATAAAACTCAAAATTGTGTTAATTAACCGCTGGATTTTAATTATAAACTGTTCACAAAATATGTTCTTAGCCAATTATTATTTGATATCATAGATCATTTTATTATTCACTAAAAATTCACGCACTAAGTTTTTTCCAGACTTACTATATATTATAAATATTTTTTAATATTATAATAAATTCTAAATTCAACAAGAATTGCTAAATGGACAGCCAAACAAATTTGACTCTACTGAAAAATGCGACAATGCGGACTCTGCTTCCCTTGTGCATTGTTTGATGGTGTGCGTGTGCTTAGTTCCATGTAGTAGTAATAGCATTGTTAATCAAAGGGCGGTTCTAAAAGGTTTTTATGTTTTATGCTTTTTATGTTTTTGTATCATTTTATGTTACGAAGTATACGCTCATTAATTTGTCGTTATTAGTTTATTCAGTGTAGTAGTCATAAAGTTTATACATAACTTCTTTTTCATTCATTTCAATATGAGATAGTTAGTAAATTACATAATCTGTGAAATGTTACTTAGAAAATATTCAAAGCGACATTATATTAGTAAAAACGCTATTAATTACTATTATATTAAATATGTTCATATATATAAAATTTTAAATGTTTAGATTTATTATTAAATTTTTTTTTTCTGAATTATATTACATAAATTTTATCTTCACAAAATATAATTAATATTTACTTATTTTATTCTACGTTTTGGGCTTTTGGATTCTTTCCTTCTTCAAGAACCAACTAAGAAACATTTTTTACAATCATACACTTTTTCTATGTACACAATAATAAATTGAAAGAAATCTTCTTTTGCGTTTAAATTAATTAAACTTTTACTCTTAAATAACATTAATATAAATATAAACTAGTATCGTAATATAAATAATAATTGCTATTACAAAAATGTAAAAATATGTAATTAAAACAAAATTGCAATGACATAATATTAGTTCATAAATTACGTATAAAGTAATTTTGGCCACAACTGGTATCAGTCAGGTAGAATGTATAGGGCCCTTTTACGAAACGCGAAGACCAAAGGACACAAAGCGACACAGTCAAAATTTCTAAGCGAGATACCTTATACAAATATCGGTTATATGAAAGAAAGAAGAGACACTATTGAGAAGTCTCAAAAACCAGATGTTCATACATACATGTAATTCTGCAATTTCAGAATGTTATTCTATGTGAATAAATATAAAACGTCTAAATTTTTAAATATATGTCGATATATACTAGGTAGATATAACAGATTTAAATAATAATTCTGCAATTTCAGAATGTTATTCTATGTGAATAAAATAAAACGTCTAAATTTTTATCTTTATTTAAATAATAATTCTGCAATTTCAGAATGTTATTCTATGTGAATAAATATAAAACGTCTAAATTTTTAAATATATGTCGATATATTACTGTAGATATAACAGACTTAAATAATATCAATACATACCAAACCAGGAAAAAACAAATTTAAGTAAGTTATGTGACTAACCACAAAATTTTATTATTTAACTTTATTTTATTCGAAGTTTTGATTTTTTTTCATCAAACATCTTGTTTAGATTTGTATTTTCTTTTCTCGGTGTGGTACGTACTGACATTATTTAAATATTTTATATCTTCTGGTACTTTTGTACTACTATAATCTTGTATAATTTTATTTTTGTTTTGTTTACTGAATGATATCATATTTACAATGTCGTTAATATAGTTAATAAATGAATATTTATATTTAATAAATATATAGTTTAAATTATTCATTGCTTTTTTTAACTTCCCGTAGGGTAGTTTAGTAGTAATGAGACGAAAATAGAAAATGAAAATTTCTGCATATCTTCACGTTTAATAATGGATTTAATTAATTGAGCTATTAATTAATTAATTCTGATCAAAAATATGTTTTTTAAGAGTTACCATTGATGTTTTTGGCGCTAATTGATGATTTAAAATTGATTATTTTCTTGACCAATGTAAATGTTACTTATTTCCCAAGTTCGATAATAAGAAAAAAACAAAAAAGTGATATAATATTTACAATTTATATTGAATTCGTATAAAATTTTATCAAACTGTATATCAAACAAACTACGATCGAACGATCAATTATAGCTATGTATTAGCTAAGATATTATCAATGAGTTTAAATTCTGTTTTTTATACGAATTAAAAAATATTTTTAAATGTGGGTTAAAAAAATAAAATTGAATTTGGGGTGAATGGCTAAAGAAACGAATCGTGGTTGCCTAGAAAAAAATGCATAACCCCCACATTTAAAATTTATATTGAATTTATAAGAAAAATGTATCAAACTATAATGGCGATCGAGCATATGACTTTTTAAAAGCTTTAATCATGATTTTGGTGCTAATTAATTATCTAAAGTTATTTTTTTCGTAAACCCTATAAAGACCACATATTTCCCAAGTTCGATAATACTAAAGAAACGAATCGTGGTTGCCCAGAAAGAAAATGCATAACCCCCACATTAAAATTTATAATGATTTATAAGAAAAATGTATCAAACTTTAATTGGCGATCGAGAATATGACTTTTAAAAGCTTTAATCACGATTTTGGTGCTAATTAATTATTTAAAGTTAATTTTTTTCGTAACCCTTATAAAGACCACATATTTCCCAAGTTCGATAATACTGAAAGAACGAATCGTGGTTGCCCCAAAAGAAAATGCATAACCCCACATTTAAAATTTATAATGAATTTATGAATAAAACTGTATCAAACTATTAATTACGATCCAGCATATGACTTTTCAAAAGCTTTAATCATGTTTTTGATGCTAATAATTATTCAAAGTTAATTTTTTCGTAACCCTTATAAATACCATGTATTTCCAAGTTCGATAATACTGAAGAAAA